CGCCCCCGCCCCCGCCCGCGTCCGGGGCGCCCTTCTCCTCCCTCCGCGGCGGGGCCCGCGGGAGTCTCCGGGTTTCGTCGCTCGTCAGCTGGCGCCGCGCTCCCTTGCCTTCCCTCGGCTCCTGTCCTAGTCGGTGTGGTCTGTAGGTTTTGGCTGGCGGCCCGCGGGCGGGCCGCCCTGCCCACGTAGGGCTCATCCTGCCTTTAAGTCGGCGGCGGCGGCGGCGGGAAGATGAGGTTTCGGGAGCCTTTCCTGGGCGGCAGCGCCGCGATGCCGGGCGCGTCCCTGCAACGGGCCTGCCGCCTGCTCGTGGCCGTCTGCGCGCTGCACCTCGGCGTCACCCTCGTTTACTACCTGTCCGGCCGTGACCTGAGTCTCCTGCCACGGCTGATCGGAGTCCCCTCACCGCTGCAGGGAGGTTCGAACAGCGCCGCCACCCTCGGGAAGCCCTCCGGCGAACTCCGAGCCGGAGGGGCCTCGCCGCCGCTGCCTTTAGACGCCTCCTCCGAGCCGCACCCCAGTCGCGGCCCCGGCCCCGCGAGCAACTTAACTACGGCCCTAGTCGCCCCCACCACGGCAGTGTTGCTGTCCGCCTGCCCTGAGGAGTCGCCTCTGCTCGGTAAGGACTCCGGTCGGCGTTAGTCCGAGGGCTAGGACTCCTCCACATTTCCCCGACAGGGTCCCCCCGGACAGTCCCCATGCCCTCTTCCACGATAGCCCTCCTCCCTATTCAGTATCAGAATCCCTAATCCCAAACGGAGGCTCCGGACTGGATAGGGGAGAGAGTTGGAAAGTTGGTCCCTTGGGATTCTTGTTGGAAGCTGGGGAGGGAGCTGTGTAGGGAAGCCCCTGGCCACAGAACTGGAGAAGGCTTTGGAGACGTCCCTACGCGGGCCCAAGCCTCAGGAAGTTTTGAAATTTCTGTCTGCTTAGGGTTTGGAGCAGCCTGCACCCTGCTTACCCTGGTAGGGACCTCGAGACAGCTCAGAGTAACCTATCTCCTTTTGGGAGCCTGGCGATGAGACTTGTAGCGGGGGAGGGAGCTGGCTTCCCAGTTCACATCTGTCTTCCCATAAAGCCACTTGTCTTGAGTGTAGGTTAACTTTTGTGTTGAGCCTTTGGGCAAGTGACTTACTTCTGTAACTCTCTGGTTTCTCATCTGGTAACTGGGGGTAATAAATGGTACCTATTTAAAGAGGATTGTTTGGGAAGATTAAACGATACAATGTAAACAAGAGTTTACAATTAATGAAAGTAAACCTTCAATATATTGTCACATTGTATTCAGTTCCTCCTCTGCATAGATCCTTGCTTTCAGGCTTCCTCCCCTGTTTCCTGTTCATGAAAGTCCCCAAAACCTAAGTGAGCAGGGTCCGTCCTCCACCCCCACCACCCCCACCCCCGCAGAGAGACTCTGTGTGTGTCTCTGTGTGTGTTTCTGTGTGTATTTGTGTGTGTATGTGTTTGTGTGTGTACATACATACATGTGTAATGTGTGTGTACTCAGGGGACTGGAAAGCTAAAATATAACCAGTCAGCACCAGATTGTCCCTTCCTGAGAGCTGCCTGGAGTCTGAATTCTGGCTGGAACTCTAGCCCTCAGCCTCTGTTTCAGCAAAGGCAGTGAGCTTGGATTTGCATTCCTTACGTCAGGAAGAGGTTGATTGCGCTCATGTCCAGACTTCTCCTTGCCCTGTAACGCACAAGCCCTCAGGCCCAGTATAGCTACAGGTTGCTCCAGGGTTACCAGACAGGTGGCCGCTCCTTTCTAATGGCAGGTTTTAGAGAATGTTGTTCTGAGGGGCCCTGGCAGAGGGGCAGGCATCCTGCCAATCGTAGCTCCGTCACTTTCCCACAAAGCCCTGGTGGAGCAGGCCTCCTACATGCTCTTGCTCAATTTCTCCAATAATTACTTCAATATTTTCATATCAAGTTTGGGAGGAACCTCTTGGAATTGGTCAGACATGACTTGTGGTAATGAGGGGGACTTTTTTTTAAAGCAGGAAATGAAATTTTCAGACTTAGTCTGAGAAGCAGACTGGTCCTATAAAATGAAGTAGAACCTTTGCCTTGGTGAAGTGTCTGACCTCAGGCATCTTATAGAGTATCTCAGAGCCTCTTCCTCAAGTGTGAAATAGGATTGTCCATACTTACCTATAGGGTTATTTTTAGAACTAAATGAGATTTAGGACTAAATATGTGGTGCATAGAAAGTACTCAGTACTTGGTGGTTAGTAGTAATATTTGCCTGAGACCTTGAAGTTCCATTTTCGCAGACTCCCATGGTGATGGCTCTGAACAGCAGAGAGAAGGGGAAGAGGGTGAGTCCCCAGACCGCAGAGAGGACAGGTTTTATGCTTTTGTTTGTTTTTACTTGTTCCCTGGACATTGTGTGGAAAGATAAAGGAATAGGAAATTAAAGAAAAGCACCCCAAAGTGCATTAGATTAGTGCTTGAAGTATAGGATTTCCTCACTGAAGTATGATGGTAGCTTTGCTGTTTTGTTTTGTAACTGTTGCTAGTGATCGGCTAGCTCCTCACCAGTTGCTGGTGATTTTGAATTGACCCTGCGCTGGCATGCGGAGAGCTGGAAAGTACTTCCTGAGAGAGAATGTTTTGGAGGACCGTCAGAGAGGCCCTTCACCTTCTCTAGTTTAGCTGCCTTGTGTGCGGTGCATGGGACCGTGATGTTTAGGTTGCTGCTGAGGCAACCCTAGAAAGTGAGGGCGGAGGGCTCTTCTTCATTTTTATTGAGCGCTTAGGTTCGAGTGGTTGAGTGCAGCTCACCGAGTGGAGGTTCCTGATTAGGAGGGGCCTTGAGAAAGCGGAAAGTCTCCCTGAGGGTGTGTGGGTGAGGGGAATGGAGCCCATCTGTTCCACTGGGCAGGTGTCAGCTAGAGCCCTTGTGGGTTGGTTTTGAGGTTGGTGGGGAAAGCATACGTGGGGTTTAGAGTTGTGGCCTTTTCACTACTTGCAGTTTCTTTCCCTGACTCGGCTCTACTTTCTAGTGTCCAGGTATCTGGCCCAGATGCTTCATCTTCTACCGGCTGGTAGGTGATGGGTAAAGGCCTGCCCTCCCCTGGAGGAGGCAGGCATCAGACGGGGCTGCTGATGGGTCACCGTTTGATCTGTTGCTGGGTTGGTCAGAGCCTTGGACTAGACCTCAGATAAAACAAAAACACCCAAGCCTGTTGCTGTCGAGTTGGTTCTGACTCTTAGTGACCCTATGTGTTACAGAGTAGAGCTGCTTCATAGGGTTTTATTGGCTGTAATCTTTATGGAAGTAGATTACCAGGCGTTTCTTCCGTAGCACTGCTGGGTGGATTTGAACCACCAACCTTTTGGTTAAACCTGTACCAAACCAAACCCGTTGCCATCGAGTCGATTCCAACTCATAGCGATCCTATAGGATAGAGTAGAACTGCCCCATAGGGTTTCCAAGGCTATAAATCTTTATGGAAGCAGACTGCCACGTCTTTTTCCTGCTGAGTGGCTGGTGGATTTGAACCTTTTGGTTAGCAGCCAAGCTCTTAATCACTGTGCCACCAGGGCTCCAACCGGTTAGTTGCGCACATACCATTTGTGCCACCCAAAGACCTTAGACCTCAGGTAGGCAGGTTTGAATCCTGCTTCTGTCTACACTAGCAGTGTGACCCAGTAGGCCTCTCCCCCATGAGACAGTGTGAAACCTCCTCGGTAGGCTGTTCCCGAGGATTCCTACAACTTTCCCCAGGCACTGGCCACTCCTCAGCGCCGTCCCAGGCCCCTCAGGGGGCTGGGCACCGTTCACTCCACTGACCCTGGCAGTGAGGCTCCATTTCTGACAGCCTGGGTGTTTGCCTGAGATCTAGTCAGACTGGGAGGAGCAGCGGCTTTGTGTTTCTTTTCTCCGGAATGTTTATCTCTGCTCAGATTTGGCGGCAGCTCAACCTGACTTGATCAGCTGTGGCATTGCCAGCCTGGAGAGGGGTGTGGTGGGGGGTGGGCGGCACATCAGACTGAACTGCGTAGGGGAGGCAGGGCTGGCCTGGGGGCTCAGCAGGGGCCAGCTCTGGAGGGGACTGCCCCCTCAGGGTACATGGGGGTGACTACAGGACTGCTTAAACTTAGAGGCCCCTCTTGCCCAGCTCTGCTTTGAGGGGACCTCCTTCATTTGTTCAAGAAGGAAGACTCTGAGGTGGACGCTGGGGAGTCCTGGGGACCTGGGCCAGCAAACAGCAGCTGCAGGTAGCCAGGACCCTGGGGGAGCACTTGTCCCTGAGCCAATCTCCTGGCTTTTATGGGGGCTGTCAGCTTAGCCTCTGCCATGGTTTGTTTCCCCCCTTGGGAAGACAGCACTTGCTAGGTCTCTGCTGGGCTTGGCTCTCGGGTGATTCTCCATCAGCACATCGTCCCTGGCATATGCAAACCCACGGACGTAAGCAGGCTGCCCGGGTCAGAGTGTCCTTTGAGAACGCCTGTCCTGGCCTCAGCTCTGGGAAGGGCTCTCTTGTCCCCTTGGGGATGGGTTTTTGTAGCCACGTCACCTTCTGTGCTTGGGGTGGGGCCCTATCCTGTGGGTGAGGGGAGCAGAGAAACTCACCTGTGTCTAGATGTTGAAGCTTTGGGAGGTTAGGAAACTAGTTCTTTGAACCAGTTTTGTCCTGTTGTTTTTTCTGGGGAAAAAAATTATTGGCATCTACATGGACATGCCTTCTTGTCTAACAGTCTGAGATTGAGAAATACTGTCCGTAACTGTCAGGCTCGCTCTCATGGCGAAACTTGGTTGCTTTCTTCCACTCAGCCTGATGGTGCCTGCCAGTTGTGATTCATCCCAGACTTTCAGCAAGTGAGGGGACCTCCCCCTTCAGCAGTAGGGCCTCTGATGAACCAGGTGACAGCTCCTTGGGGCATGAACAGTTATCCGGTGCACACAGGGGAGCAAGAGCTAAACATGGGATTGGACTCAACTGCAGCTTCTTGGAACCAGAGCCTCCCAGGATGGCCCCCCTCCCTCATTGTGCTAGAAAGGGAAGGGGTCTTGCCTCATGCCACACAGCCAGGGAGTGGCCAGCTAGGATTGGAACTCAGGTATCCTACTTCCTAGCCAGTGCTTCTCCCTGAGGTTATTGTTGAGTAGACACTGAGGTGTAGAGGCTCACGGGTAGTTTGATGTGGCTTAGAGTTCGGAAACTCTGTTAGATGTGTCTGTGGGTCCTTCTGAAAGGTCTTCTATAGTGGCAGCTAACCTGAGTGTTCTTGATAGCTAAGGCATCTGGTAACTTCCTCCATTCAGTTCCTACAATGTGTCTGCACTGTGCTGGGTGCTAGAGCTACAAAGAGAAAGAAGGCAAAGTATCTCCCTTTTAGGAACTTATAATTTAGGCAGGGAGGCATAATTAAACAGTTCTGATGTCGTTTAGGGAAACCAAAATGTGTATGTGTAATTTCTTTCTTTCAGAAACTCAGAGATTGGTTTCAAAGTTTTCCAGTCCTGGTTTATTTGATTGTATGAAGATTTTCCTCTCATTTCTTTCTGAAACCATGAATTAGCTCTGCTGGGTAATTGTTAACTTGCTGCTTTATAATGATTATAACGAGACATCAATAGCCATATGCCTGGGTATTAATGCTGTCTTT